AGGAGGAGCACAGGCTGAGGGAGGGGAGTCTGTCTCCGGGTCCCAGGCTGTGTGACCTTGAACAAGTCACTCTTCCCTCTAGGCTTGAATTCATCCATCTGTAAAATGAGACCAAGAGACGCCATGATGCTAAAGATCGGCCAACCAGGGCACGGAGCCCCCAGGCTGCAGCGAGCGGCACCAGGTGGGCACATGACCCGAGTGAGCCCTGACAGTCCACCCTGGAGCCCCGTGAGAATCAGTTGTCCTCCGAGGTCACATGCCAAGAGTGAGTCAGAGGGCACTGGGCAGGGGACAGAAGGCCATAGATTGCACACAATTTCCAGGGTTTTCATGACCCCAAGAAGGTGGATAAATACTACCAGGCACGAAAACAGTGACAGGGACATGTTAGGGTGGGGAATTCAAGGCCTCTTGACAAAGGGTGAAGGGAGCGCTTCACACTCACAGAGTCGAGGTGGTTTGGCAGGTGAGCTCAGTCTCTGATGGATTCCAGCGGACACCACTGAATAGCTGAGTGTCCTCAGGCAAGTTACTTCACCTCTCTGGGCCTAAGTTTCTTCATTTGTGAAAGGGGGATATTTCCAGGTTTGTTCTCATAAAAAAAAAAAAGAAAATTAAACAAGATCAACTTAAGGTGAAGTTCTGAGTCCAGGGTTGGACACAGAATAAACATTAAATAAAGGTTAGCTAGTACCATAACAGCACGGGGGAAATTAAACAGAAAGGACAGTCTTTAAACAAAGGGAACATTCGTGATCTTCTGCAGGTTTCCCCTGAGCAAGGGGGACCCCTCGCTCCCTCTCCTGCTCAGCAAGAGTTTTGCAGACCCCTCACCCCACGGTGCCTGTCGGCCCTCCTTACTCGCCAGTTGAGAGGCTGATTTGGAAGCTCAGGGCTTTGAGGCTGGGGTTCTGCCCCCCTTGCAGCCCACGGTGGCTCTCACTTCTCCCTGCCTCCTGTCGAGGGCACCCCGGACCCCGTGGTTGGCTTCTAAGGAACAGAATACAACAAAAGGGTTGAGATGTCACTTTAAAATTGAGGTTCCAAGCTCTGGCCCCCCTGTTGCTTGCGAGGCCCCCTCTCTTCCCTCCCTGGTCTGCTCAGATGGAAGCCATCTGCCTTGTTGTGTGCTGTCCTATTTTAGAGGCCCGTGCAGCAGGGAGAAGAGGACTGTGGCCAACAAAGAGCCAAGAATTGAGGACTTCCATGCAGCAGCCCGCAAGGAACTGAACTCTGCCCCGGGAGAGAGTCGGAGGAGAGCTCCTTCCTCAGCGAAGCCTGAGACAATGCGGCCGAAGCTGGGCCCTTCCTTCCAGATGGTGAGGGAACCTGAGCCGGAGGACTCAGCTCGGCCACACCGGCACTGTCACCCACAGAACTGAGATAACCAGTGTTGCTGTGGACAGCCGTTAGGTTTGGGGTAATGTGTTACATAGTAAATACAAAACTGATACATGAGGAAGAAAAAAAAAAAAGTGGGAAGATTTTTGACCCACTTACTGGGAAACTCCAGGAGTAGGTTGGTTTCAGGGACAGCTGGAACTCAGGGCTCAAATGTCCACAGGAATCTGTCAGCTTGGGTTTCTATGAAAGCAGAACCTGAGGTCAGAACGTGAGAACAGGAAGAAAGGAAAGGAAAGGGAGAGAACGTGCTTTCAAATTTTCTGCAGTCAGCCACGGGGGCTGGGCTGTCCTTGAATCTTTGAGAAGCACCTGAGTCCTGAAAGTGTCCTTTTGAAGAAAAGAAGCCAGGGCCGTTTTCCCCCTGCACTGAACTTGTTGAGGCTGGAAGACCCCTCAGCTCTGGAAGCCCCTGCCGGTGTGGCAACAGTGCCAGCGCAGCCCCGGCCTTCTTCCTATACCTCGACAACCCCCCCTGGGGGTTGGGGGGGCACCTCTCTTTCCCAAGAGTTGGAGCAAAAGCTCAAGTGGCATCTCATTGGATGACAATGATCACGTGCTTACCCCTGAGCCAATCACTGCTTCAGCTGACCAGGCTCTGGGGTCTGAAAGGAAATGAATGCTAGCCAAAAAAAAAAAAAAAAAAACGACAATTAGATATCTGTCAAGTCTACAGGAGCGGTGACTCCTGTTAGTGGGTTATAAGATCCATTTAGTAGTTGATAACCAGCATTTTTTAAAATTAAGAGTTAGACAGTACCAATCAAATGATAGCTGCATCAGAATTACCCAGAAGGCCTGTTAGAACTCAAAGTGTTAGGCACTTGCCCAGAGTCTCTGATCCAGCTGATCTGGGTGGGGCCCAAGCATTGACATCTCTAACAGATTCTGAATGATACTGATGCTGCTGGTCCAGGGACCACACTTTGAGAACTGCTAGGTTTGGAAGGCATCACAGTAGACTGTAGGTAAGATGGCTGAGTTTTGTTCCAAAGAACTTTTGTTTCATTTACGTATGTATGTCAACCTCGTTTCTTTCACCTATTCCCCCACACACACACACAGAACTGGGAATTGAACTCAGAGCCTCACAGATGCCAGACAAATACTCTACTTCTGAGATATATCTCCAGACCTTTCCTTTTCTTTTTTCCTTTTCTTTTTATTTTGAGACAGGGTCTCTCTAAGTCACCCAAGCTGGCCTTGACCTTGGATTCTTTCTAACTCCTAAGTAGCTGAGATGAGAAGCGAGCGCCATCCTGACTATGAAAAGTATTTCTCATGGCAACCATCCCAGGGCAGAGACATCAAGTAATTTTCCCAAAATCACACAATCACTAGGTGAGGGGTAGGGCCTGGGAGCAGGTCTACCGTACCTTTCACCACAAGGCTATGCTGATTCTAGCACTGGCTGACCTTCTACTCCCACCTCACCTCAGGACGGGGGTTAGTTATGAAGCCACGTTTGGCACATGGAGAGGGCAGGATACAAAACGTTATTGAAGCAAACACACCCCAAAACAGGCCAGTTTATACAAGATCAAGGTTTAGTTCCCTCTCATGTAACAGTCCAGAGGTGCACGCCCAGTAGGGCAGCTCAGCCAGCCTCCTCATGCCGTCTCCACCCAGCAAGAAGTGGGGAAGGGGAAGGGGAAACACACCCCTGTCCTTTTAAAAGTGCAACTCTATAAAGTTGCAGGCTTCACGTCCATTCACTTCCCATTGGCTGGATCCCAGTCATGTGGTCCAACTAGCCGCAAAGGGGTCTGGGAAATGTAGTCTTGAGCAGGAAGACCATGATTACTGGGGGACAACTAGTGGATTCTGTGCTACCACGTAGTATGACCTGAGGTGCCTGATCAAGGCACCATTGGGGAGGAGGGGAGCCCCTGAAGGGCCCCCAGATGGTCTCCTATTGGGCCCCAAAGAGACCAGTATGGTGGCGTTACTCCCAGAGACAGGGTCCAGCCACCCTCCCCAGACCCCTGCTATGGATCTAGCATCCGGTCCTTACTCAGACCACTCTTGGCCTTACACTTTCTAACACGTTTCTACCGACAGCATATTTTCCAGTTTATGATACTATGTCAAGTACAGCTCTCGATTTTCAGCCTCAAAGTTCATTTACTTTAAAAAGGCTTGCTTGATGTGAAAGGCTGTTGTGTGTCTATTAATAAAGCCGTGAGCCTCCAGCCATCAAAAGAATCACCCCTGCTTGAGCGGGAGCGGGACCCCACTAAACTTTATTCCACGGCTCGTTTTTAACCGGCCCTGCCGCTGAACTTCACCTTCCTGTCTTATTCCCAAACTGCAGACGCCTCTGTTCCTAATTTTCCCCATAAAACAGTGACTCATAAACGAGAACAGATTTCTCTTGCTTGCAGAAAAGGTAAATTGCTGGCAGAAATAAATTTGCAGATGCTAGAATTTCGCAGAAAGGAGCTCATTGGTGGAGAGGGTTTGATATCCGGCCTCCATCCCCCTCCCCCACCTATCTGTATCCTTTGTCATCCTCCCAAGCAAGCTGGGTGCTGTCGAGGCCCCAGGGTGGGTGTGGTAGGGAGGTGGGCTCCGCCTTTGTTAGAGATTCCCTGTTTATCTCCCCGTTTGTCCCAGTTCCCGGGCCTGGGATTGGGCTCGGGGCCCCTGAGGCGGAGGACTCTGGCATCCCAGCTCCGCCCCGTACACCGACCTGGATTTATTTGGGTTACACTCAGCTTCTGGACCTGTTGCCAGGCAAGGAGAAGGCCTGTGGGACCTGCCTAGGGCCTGCAGGAGGTGGTTCCTCACTCCAGAAGACGGCAGGACCCAGGCCAGCCTGAGATGGGCTCACATGCCAGAGGATCTTCCTTCTAAGAGTGATCTCCAAGGACCAGGTCTAGACACCTCCCTCTCTGACACAGAATCCAGGTCAAATGGGAAGAACAGTGTAAACTGCCATTTCCTAAGTACTGCAGTGTGCTTGCCCTGTGCCAAGCCATCCCCATCGATCTTCCCCCGTCTTCTTGGAATCCAGGGCGAGATATTGTACCCATTTTGCAGAGATGGAAACTGAGGGGAAATCGCTCGCCCTCGCACACACACTGCCCTCTGGTGGCAGATCGCAGACTCGACAGACCCTGGGTCTAGCCTCATTCCTTCAGGTTTCTCTTTCTACCTCTCCCAGCGGTTCGGCAGCCCCACCCACCCCCATGCCCACCCCCCACGCTGCTTCCCTCCCCCCAGCCTCCCCTGGAATCCTGACACCCTCCTCCTCTGCACTGCTCTCCTCACTAAGCACAGAGCATCCGAGAAACAACATTTCTCCAAAGAAAACAAATTTAAAGGTGCCAGGAGCGGGGGCGGGGGAGAAATTCTGAGCTCAGCTTCCCCAAAGAGGCAAAGGCCTCAGAGACCCGGGCCAGATGGGGCGTGGGCACCTCCTGCCCCTCATCAAGACGCCCAAGGACAAGCCAGAGCTACCTTAGCAACTAAGTTTAAAATTATTTTATATTCCTACACCTCCCTCTCATGCCTGAAATCTTCCCTGTTGATGGTGTGTTAATTTAAGCCACCAATTACCATTGAAGCCGGGTTTGGGGTTGGGGGGGGGGCGTGTAGCTCAGTGGTAGAGCCCTGGCTGGGCCCGCAGGAAGCTCTGGGTCCAGCACCGCAAAAATAAATAAATTTTAAAAAGTGAAAGTCCCGGTTGGAATCATCCCCCAACCCACTGCCTTCCCAGAATGGGGTTAACTGTCCACAGGGTGTGACTAAGTCTCAGACCCTGCACAGGAGGACAGAGCTGGAGAGATTAGCCCCCAGGGAACTACAGGCTCTCCCTGTCCACTCTTCCCAGCAGCCTGGGGGACTCCAGCTTCATCTCCAAACACTCCAGGGCTGAGAGGTGCCAGATGTGCCCAATGAGGGCCCCGGAACAAGTCAGCTGCCTTCCCACAGTAATCCCTAGTAGGGCAGAGGCCTGACTGAGGTCCCCACAGGCAGCAGATGGCGAGCCAACTTCTGCGTTGCCATGGCAGCCCTGGACGGGGCGAGGAGCCTGCACCGAATGTGCACAGACACCTAGACCCAGATTACACCGGGGCTGGCAGGGATGCAAGTTTCAGATATCACTGTTCTCACCCGGGGGCTCAGGACCTGGATGAGGCTAGACCTGGGCTCCAGGCTGCCCAGCTCTTCCTCCTGACCTGAGCAAGGCAGCTCTGACCTTGCCCCCAAAGGGCTGCCAGGAGTCTGTGCCCCCTGCACAGAGTTCAAGGACCTGTATGTATAGGATACTCAAAAACAACAGAAGACCCTGAGCCAACAGATTTGGGGGGCCAAGGGTCAAAGGGCAGATGTTAAAGAGATGTCCCCAATTCCACCAGGGGGAGATGCAGGGGCCTGGGTCTCTGAGTGGGACAGGGTCCAGTGCAGGACCCATCCCCAGGTGATGCACCCACCTCCAGCTCCCTACAGGTAACTCCCTCTCCCTGAGCCCACCCGGCCCCTGTGTGCATGCACTCCACGCACACATGCGCGTGTACACACACACACACACACACACACACACACACACACACACACGGTACACAATTTGTGCACACAACCCATGCCTAGGAGGCCCACACACCAGGCAGAAAAGAGCACAGTGCTAACTTATGCAAAAACACCCACACCCTCCGTGCAGTGTACACAGTGTGCCTGCAGAATCAGCACGGCAGGCCTGAAATAGTGCCCCCCAGTACAGCAGCAGAGGGGGCACCCTGCACCTGCACACACCCATGCGCATGCGCGCACACAGAGCACCCTCAGCCCACAAGGCTGGCCCGGGGGAGGGGCCGGAAGAAGCAGGAAAACCCCTTCCCTCCCCTGGCAAGTGAGCAAACACACCCAGAGGGTCGCCCATGGGGACAAGCTGGGGCCTGGGGACCTCCTGACTCAACATCCACTCAACATCTGCAGGGCCTCCCCAGACAATGAGGTCAGGGGCTGATTCCCAGCGAGGGGTCCAGGACGGAGTGTCTGGGCCACAGCCAGGCCTGGCAGCCCTGTAATCACCTGGGACAGGGGTGGAGCCAGAGGTCAGCCCCAGGGAGAACAGGCTCCATCCTGCCTGCCTGCTGCCTGCTCCCTGTCACACCCAAGAGACAGGAGCCACGGAGATGCAGGGAGGACTGTGAGCAGAAAGCCTAGTTAGTGTAGGG